TTAAGCTGACTTTTTTTAGCTCAACTGAGCCAAAGGCTCAAGTGAGCTATTCTGAACAAAAATAGTCCTCTGTCTGTCGTCGGGGATGTAAAGTTGTCACATTTTCATTTTTTTCTCAAGAACCACTGGGCCAATATCAACTAAACTTGCCACAAAGTATCCTTAGGTAAAGGGATTCAAGTTTCTTCAAATGAAGGGCCATGCCCTCTTCCAAGGGGAGATGCTTATGAATTAATGAAAAAGTAATGACATGTTTTAAAAATCTTCTTTTCAAGGAACACTGGTCCAGGAAAGATGAAATTCATGTGGAAGCATCCTCAGATAGTGCAAATTCAGTTTGTTCAAATCATGACCCCAGGGGTAGGATGGGGCCTTGATGGGTGGTCAGGGTTCAATGTTTAACTTGGGAATACATAGGGAAAATCTTTTAAATCTTGTTCTCAAGAACAACTAACATAATTGGTCATAGCTATATGGAAGCATCCTTATGTGGTGTAGATTCAAGTTTGTTCAAATCATGATCCCACTTGAACCCACTTTAAACTTTTTCAATACTGAACTGAGTTTTGTTTTTAGTTTTACATAGCCAGAGCTCAGGTGAGTGATGTGGCCCCTGGGCCTCTTGTTGCAGTAAAATTGTTAATCTTTGGTTAATCACTTTAACCTTTATCATATTTTATCAGATGACAATGAGTGTGATAATATTTTACGTAAAATAGTTCGAATAATATTCACCATTGAACAAATCATGCAAACTAATACAATTTTTGTGTGACCTTTTTGCACCAAAAAAGGATCTGCTTGGAGTATAAAAACTCCAATAAAAAGGCATGAAAATATTTCCTTGTTTCCAACTGAAATATGAATGAAAGAGATATGACATAATATTAGTAATTATTTAAGTCAAATTGTGAAATTTATGCTAATTAGCAAAGGAAAGCATGAACACTTTTTGAAATATTTAGAAATGTGGCAAAATTAAATTGTCCGTTGCTATGGTAACCATAATTTGTCAAGTTTGAGATTCATTGCATGTGTGTCTCTATTGTTTGTCTTTTATTTCATATAAAGCTTGAATTAAAATAAAGTTGGGAAGTTTGTCATTTTTATGCATAATTTTGTGATATTTTGATAAAATTGCAAAACTTGCAATATTTTTCTTATGTTGGTATCTTGAGTTCATGGCAAAATTAAAAGGAAACCTTGACAAACAAAAAATTAATGGTTTTGAGAAGATTATAAGTTGGTTAATTAATAGAAAAAAAGTTACAGAGAAATTAACCAAAAATCTTTTTAAAAAGAGAGTTTCAAAAGTGGAAAATTTCAGTGTTTTTCTCTGAAAAATAGTACATTTGGCCCAGAAAGTTGCATGTCGTTGCCATGGCAACAGTTACCATGGAAATCTTAAAATAGGTTTATAATTCCAATATTGGCTTTACTCCTAACATATATGCAAAATTTGAAATAATTCTGAAAACATGGACTTGTCACCTATTGCATGATTCTTACGTGAACCTGTACTTAATTTTTATGAAATTCATACGTTAAATGATTTATAAGCCTTTTATGATTGACTTGTAATAGAATCCAATATATCGCATATATCTTTAGAAAAAAAAATTATTTTATCGTATCGTATCTAATTTTTTTTCAATTTTGCTCAATACACAGCCCTGGCGCCCAACTGCCACCTTCCGATCTGCGTAATATTTTCCTCTGTAAACACTTTTGTATACAAGTGGGTTGCAACCCCAATGTGAAAAATCAGTACGTCTTAACTTCAGTTGACTGAATATTCAAAAACTGCAAAGCTTTGTTTAAAGTTTATACAATGTATAACGATCATATTTTGTACCTAAGAAATAAATAGTCCAATATTTTAAATCATGGTAGCAAAATATTTTGATTGATTAATTTTTATTGTTCTACGCCAAGTCGGCAATATTTTAGTCATAATTTGAAGATGTTGTCAAACAAAAATGTTCCAACAAGGAATTTACATGTTGATTACTAACCAATTAATTGCACCTTGATTTTAATATTAAAGTCTATGGACAGCGCATATGTGTTTGAAAGATATTTTAAGAAGTAATCTGAATTTCAAACTAATCCGAGTATTATCTCTTGATGAAAATATGCGTTTGTTTGTTTATTAAAATATGATATAAAGTGAATAATACCGAAGAAATTTAGATAAATATTTTTTTTTTTTTTTTTTTTTTTTTTTTTTTTAATCAAGGCCAGGTAACTCTTAGAAACTTTCAATGTGCAAAATGACCGTCTCTGTACATGTTATTAGTCTGGCGAATTTTGGTTCATTTCACTTTTATCTTTATCTAAAAGTGTCGAAAATCCCTTCATTATACATTGAATACCTTAAGATGGACGGAAACTGATATTGGGATAAGGGTTTTGAGTTTAAATGTGAAAATTGAGACGCCCTATCAATATTTGTACATAATACAGCAAAATTCTGCAAAGACTGAAACAATCATATTGTAATATTTTTCAAAATGCAAACATGTTCCCGAACCAGTTTGGCCAGTCTAAAATGTTGTAACAAAAAACTTGAATGGTATCACAAGAGACAATTATATGCTTGATACCCAAAGCCACTATTTTACTCACTTTTAGTAATGCAAAGAAAGCTCATGTAAAAGCAGACTAAAATAAAGCCGCTTCAAAATCATGTAAAAGCAAACTTAAATAAAGCAGCTTCAAAATCATGTAAAAGCAGACTTAAATAAAGCAGCTTCAAAATCAGAACACAAATCTGGCAAAACACTGACAATGTTATCCAACATAGGTATTATAATAGTTTTCTTATATCCTGAGACGCATTAGTTACATCTCTTGTAACCAACCCAGATCTTATTAATAATAAATGAGTCGATTGGATTCTGTCAACCATGCAAGTTGATGACAAAACTGATTCCTGATAAATAACATTTGACGGTAGAAAAGCCATAATACTCTGACATATATATGCTATAAAATTAATCATATGATCAAAAGGAGGGGACCAGATCTGCTGAAATGATACCTGTTGCCTGAAATTGAAAAGACTTTTGCTTTCTGTATTTTGAGATACACCAGTTTGAAGGAGACTGGCTACAGCTGGCTCCTATAAAATAGTCAGATGCAAAACTGAATAGGTACATGTACATGGAGGGAAAAGGTACTGTAATGAAACCTGGTCCACATAAACCGAGAAATAGTATATGGAATTTATTTATTATCATTATTTTATAATATACCTTGCATATGTTGCTTTCAAATGTACATGTACATTAAACTTAAAAAATCTGCATAACTAACATCCCGACTAATGCCATAATTATTTTTTTTTTTTTTTTTTTTGGATGTTTTGTGATTAAATTGCTATAAACCAAAGAAAAATTGTCAATATGAAGTTGGTTTTTTTTTTTTTTTTTTTTTTTTTTAAATTTAATTTAAACTTTCAGCCCAGATCATAATCCTTAGTACAACAGATACAATTTCTAGGAAGGCGATATCCCTGCATTACTCCTCAGGCCAGTCAACCGGTCAATGTGGGCAAGACCAATGTTTACTAAACACCACACGTAACCATTGAACTATCTAAATAAAATTGAAGTGCATTAATTTTATAGATTATTCCTGCCATACACGACTAGGAAATGGTGTGAAGTGTCCTACAATTAAAATTCCCAAGAAATAAAATTAATATTAATTACAAATCAATAAGTCTAGAATACCTTATTTTTATTTATTTATTCAATCATTTTGGGAGTCGTTTAGAAAAACAGAATATTGTTAAACGTTTAATTATTCGATTAATTCAATTATTAAAAAATTAATTCTATGTATATGTATAATTTAGTGTATATTTAAAGAAATTAAATGTTTATGTACATGTAATGGGACGATTTTTTTTTTTTTTTTTTTTTTTTTTTTTTTTTTAACAAACCCCGATATTTTAATTGAAAATTATATAAAAATGGCATTAATAGATCAACGTAGAAAAAAAAACGAACGATGGAAATCCCAAATTATTACTATGTGAAGCCTAGATGGATAGTTTATAGACTATTTATGCAGGGTCTTGGTTTTTTAAAGCAAGTTTGTAATTCTGGTTTAAACCACGACGGATACACGTGCATTAGATTTAGGCAAATTCCCAAATGTGCAGAAATACACAAAACACTCGATATTGGTTTTGGCAAATAGCAATGGTGGAAAAAAGGTGTCATATTTTGTGAAAAACATGCATAGGGTTCCCCTTGATAACAAATATGACGTCATTTGAATGTTGCATTGTATGGAAATTCGTAAAAATTAAAAAATATGATAATTAATAAAAGGATTTGGGTCAAATTAAACTGTACCTCGATTATGTTGAGCTGGATTAGCAGGTAACAGGTAAACTAAGGAAGTTTCAGTGACTCTGAGTCAGGTGCCTGCTCGACAATGGCGACATCATGTTCAGAACTGCATGAAATTCTACAGCTAGGCCTTCTCTATGTTTTAGGTCTGGATACGGAACTTCTTGTGATTTCTCTGAAATAAGGTCTTCTGGCCTTTTAAGCTCTTGATACACGTAACATATTTACTTGTATTTGACAATAAATCAGCAGATGATGATCGATTAATTCTTTTAAAAAATCTTTGCGTCTGCTTCGTTCGATTTACAGATTCAAAAGGAATATTCTAGATGACATGCGCATACAAGAAATATCAAGAATTTTTTAAGCACCGAGCCCGATGATTTATGACGTTCAATGTTAAGAAACTAAGAGTTATCTATCTTTGCATGTAAAACATTAAGCTGCACGAAATAACCAGGTTTATCCATATTGGATAAACCCCATTAAAACCTGCCGTGAACAATCATGTAATGAACATGGGGTATTATTCGGGTATTGTAAAGAAGCACACGAGACATATAACTAAATGAGCATTGTGACCCATTATACCATCCTTCATTAAATGAAGCCTTTGGTTTTTTTTTATATAAACAGGGACAAATGAATCTATGGAGAACACAGATAATGGAATGATAGGCGTCGCCATGGGAACAGTCTCTGTTATGGTGATAGCTATACTGATTGTAGTTGGAGTACTGCATACCAAATATGGTACAAGTTTTGGAATATTTGAAATCTTTTTGTTTAAGTTTTTTCTGAAATTATGTTTAAATCACACATGCATGAATTCATTGTCATAATGTATCTCATAATCAATGTATATTAGAGACAGTGTATCATTCTTCTTGCAAAATCTGAAGAAGTGCAAACGCTTCCAGTTCACAGTTTTTCTCCGGACAACTGTTAATTACGAAAAGAAAAGAAACTAAAAGAGAAATGAAAAAATAAAATAAGTTGCATCGATTTGCACGCTAGCATTAAAATAGTTGCATATTGACGTAAACTGCATGTCAATATATTTAACTAGCATAGATGTCAACAAAAAAGTTGCATCTAGCTTTTTGGAAGTAAAGTCGGCAAAGAGAACAGATTGGTTCTTTCTAACATGTCCACAACGTTTCATGTTGACATATTTATGTCGACATAAGTATCTTGCATGTCAACATAATCCATGGAAAAATAATTAGAATGTTTACAAGGGGCAGATATTTGCCACCATATTTTTGCCCCCTTCATGCAAGGTTAATTATATGTCATGCGAGAAAAGTATGTCAATTATATTCTAAATAATTATATTGAAAATCTTTCCAGAGAATCTAATTTTAACATGGATAATTCATATGTGGATATTTGACTTGAAAAAGACGTTAATGGTAATCTAATAAACGTGATGTCTGTAACTTTTCAATCATCAACTGCCCTTACTTATGCATGCAGCAATATACCTTCATCACCTTCATCACCTTCATCACCTGCATACGGAGTTTATATATCTCTGTTGATTCGATACGCAAGAGCATGCTCTACGTATGAACAATTTCTAAAATGAGGTAAATTACTGACAAACAAGTTGATGAAACAAGAATATCAGCAGTCTCGTTTAAAGTCATCATTTCGTAAGTTCTATGGTCGATACAATGGCCTTGTCAGCAAATACAATTTATCATTTAGTCAAATGCTGACTGAAGTTTTTCATACTAATTTTTAGTCCATGAATTGACGACGGATTTTCCGTTATTTCCCAATCATGACAAGGAGCACACCGCGGATTTGGCCGGTCCATAGGGAATTCTCACTCCATAATGGCACCTGATCCCACCTCTAACGTTTAGGAGGTCCGTGTTTGCTCGGCTCCTATTTGTATTGTTTTATGGACTTTTAAACTTGAATATTGTTCTGTTATCACCATGCATGTATATTTCCTGGATGAAATAATTACTAACGCCTAAATCTGACGTTATACATCCAAGATGCAACATAATGCAATCTGACATAAATTATGAGACGTACGTATGTCAACATGCAGTATGATAAAATTTACGATAGACTTGCGACTCATTTTGCAATAACATAACTCCATGTATGTTGGCATGCTACCTTTTTTTGTCAACATGCGAGAAAGTTATATTGACATGCGACTTATTTGACATTAATCACTTCAAGTTACTTACCATCATCTTTCCGTATTGATACTATTTTCTTTTTCGTAGTTTACTGCTACCTTGATTTCCCTCTTCTTCTAAAAGGAGACATAAAACGTTTTTAATTTTGTTAGTAAACATTCTGTCCCAGAACCTTTGCTTTGCTCTCTCGTGGATCTAGAGGGGATTAGAGGATCCACGTGAGATTTCAGTTATTAAATTAATTTCTAAGTCAATGATAATGAAAAATATCCTTACCCCCCCCCCCCCCCAAAAAAAAAAAGAAACCGGTCCCTTTAAAACGAAAGGGACAGTGTGTATCTGAAGAAACAACTTGCCCCATGGTGAAAAACCCTTTTCATAGGAGGGGAATTGGGGTGAATTTAGGCACTTGCCTAAATCAGTTTTCCTCAGATACACAGTGTCCTTTTCGTTTTAAAAAAGGGGCCGGTTTATTTTTTTTTTTAAATACATATAACTCTGAAATCGCAGATGCGTATATATACACAGATAGTTCTATGTGTCATAGTGTGGTCCTTTTTTCATACAGGTATTTTGGAAAGGTGCAAAAGATAATAGTTGCTGCAGAAGATTCTTTGGAAGAAGGAAATTTAATGTTTGAGGAAATTTTATATTCTATGGTGGATACGGAATTTATTTCACAAGTTATGTTTTTTTTCCTATATATAGTGTATTTTGACAAGTGGGAAGTAATTCAATAGTTATTTATTATACTAGATGTGTGATAAATACTGACGTGAAATTGAATAAGTAGTTACATTGTAATGCTGGATTTTATGTACATGCATAGAAAAAAGAAAAAAATATGATTATCGTTTTTATCATTGATTATCGTGATTTATCATTTTAATCATGTCTTGTACATACTTAATGAGATCATATCAGAAATTAAAAAAATTTTCTTCCGGTATCTCATTGACAAGTTAATTGGATTCTTTCCGACCAATTGTAAACGACACTCTGAAATTCTTTGACATCGAAAAAAGTTTACTTTGTTTCAATTGTCAAAAAAAAATTCATAGTGACGTTTGTTTTAGCGGACCCCAACTGGACACAAATCCTGAGTCTGGGCCCTAGAAAGGGAAACATATGCACAGGTTTTTTCTCCTCTCTCTGTATGTTATTTTATGTCTGATTGTTGGAAAGAGAACCACCCTGGAACCCACCCCCACCCCCCTTTTCTGCTGGATTCGCTCTGACCCCCCCCCCCTCTTTTCTATATTTTAAAATTTTGGGTCCAACCACTCTGTGTTCTTTATAATGCATTGCTTCTTCCGGCCTTTATTTGTTATATTTTAACAGAAGAGTTCTTTTTGTAAAAATGAATCTTTCCACTGTTCCCGCAAACAAAGCCGTCGTTCTTATTACCACAAAAGGTTCTTTCTTTTAGCGTAAGTTGACTTCCGCTCTGAATGTAAACACCTAATCACATGGCATCAGGCTATTATTAGAACGTGTAGCATGACGAATTTATCAAACATTAGAAGTTGCTTTTAATTGTTATCAAGGCATGTGATGGTACATATCAGTTTATTTGCATAAATGTGATAACATAAAGCTTCCATTGGACTGTCAATTGTTCTGGCAAAAGCTGAAAAATGGACGCCAGACTAGTTTTACTTCTAGCAGTATGTCTACAATTTGCAGGTAAATTGATTATAACAGATACTATAGTATGTGTTTCGTAAGCTTTTAATATATGTTTGATATACATAATTAATTCATCAATATATGAATTTATCATTATTTCATATACAATATAATATATCTTACTTTCTCTGCCGAAATTTGCCAGAATTGAGAAAGATTGGATAAACTGAATTATTTAAGAGAATGATACTTGTAAATGTATTTACCCTCTCTTTACTTTAACTCAAGCGACAATATAAAATACATGTGATTTTAAATTTATACAACTAGTTTTAACTAATGCACACATGTATAGTGTACTTGATCCGCCAAGTTGAAAGGATTTAAATCTTACCGTATATACCTGTACATATGTGTGTGTAACCATTTTATTGCTGATTGCAAAATATTTTTATTGCCTGTGCTTGAAATTAGTGGGTCTCCAAAGTCATGGTTATATAAAATCTTGTTTTTACTGATTCAGTTTTACGTTGATAACACGTTCCTGAAGGCCAGACTGTCAAGCTCAGTACATATAGTTCGTGAACCGGAGGAGTATCTATTAAATTATTTACTTTTTTATTTATTCAGTTCCATACACATGTATTTATGCGTAAATGATGTTATTATCATACAAGTTAATAAAATGCTCAGTTATATCCAACCTACCCTGAAAAATACATATTTTTTTTATATTAAGAAAAGTTATGAATTACGGAAAATAGTTAAATAATTGAAAGCTGAATATCTATATTTTTGTAATTTGAACGAAATACATCATAATTTCTTTTCTCTACTGATAGAACAATTGTATAGTAATAAAAAAGATTGTAAGTAAATACTTGGTATATATTATAGGATGACTTTATCTCAGAATCTAACGAAGCTGAATAGGTGATTGACGCTAGAGGTCAAATCAGCGCTAAAAATATTTCAAACTTTTTTGTAACTTAGTTGACTAGTATTTCTCAGCAAAAATAATTAAGGAAAAAAAGTTTACACATGGAAAAAGAAGTGAGATTGCGTAAGAACTAAAAAAAAAAAAAGCTATAGTTCTTATTTTCTCCTTATAATTGTGTTCCTGAGTGTTACATGAATTATTATATTGATAATTTCCGTATAATAACATCATATGATAAATACTGTCATAAAAAATAGGGAAACAGTTAAATAATTTAAATATATCTAAACGAATTGCATTTACTTTTTAGTTTAATTTACGTTACAATCATATCGACTAATACATCTTAGCTGCCCTACCACAAATCATGAAAAAATCAAGGAAAATTAAATTTAGAAAAAAAAATGACTCTTACCAAATTGTGGTTGTTCTAGATCTTTAGTGCTCGGTATTTCCGCCTCTATGTCCGTCTACACTCGTATTTGATCCTTTTTTTTTAAAATATACAAACCTACAAACGTGGGTGGTTATTATTATATGATTTTCAGGGGAGGAGGGTGTCTATTTTGATTCCGAAATCATTCTACGATGCTTATCACATTATATAACAGATGCCAAAAAAATTCTTCTTGAATTTAACAGAACTTGATTTGGATTAAACAAAGACATAAATGACTGAGATGTTTTTTACAGTATGTCTCAGGATTAGACAAGGATATAGTAATCTTTCAAACAAAAATTATGGTTCGCCACCTGGAAAATATTAAATACATGTGTATGACTTGTTTCGATAATAAATAAGAAATATAACACTTCAGTAACAATTTTTTTGGTGATATGATAATAAAATTTCAGAGTTAATCAGAGTCTTCATTGATATTTGTATATATACATGTATTCTTGCTTTTAAACTGAAGTATTGGATAATCTAGCACCCGGACAATGCCGAGACATAAATATCAGCCCGAAGGTGTATTGCTTTAAAAAAGTTGCAAAAATATAATATTTAATAATATGATTTTTTTTCTTCTAGTGGCTGACTATAAAAAATATCGTGAATTTATTCTGAGCCAGGCAAACAACGAAACTTTGAATAAACTTTTTGCAGAACATGTCAAAAAATTCCAAGTGACCAAAAACCAGGTCTGTATCATTATGTAAACCTTGGTTTTAAAATGCTGCAGGTAGATAAAACAATCTTCATTGAAAATATATATATTATTTTTTTTTTTTTGTATTTAAAGCTGAAGTTACCAGAATTTCCCTGTTCAAAATACAGCATGAAAAGGGGAGCCGCCACAGGTAAACATGTGCATGTATATGTATAAGACCTGATATATTTCTTAAAATGTTTTTGACATTTGTTTGACCTTTTATAAATTTTTCACGTACGGATGTGTATTTTTTTTCAGTACATAATTTGGCCCCACAAGACATTAAAGTTGTCGCTGGATTGGGGGATTCTATAACGGTTTGTCAGATATTATTTACATCGTTGCAATATGTAACTTTTTACACTTTTTTCCCTGAACCTATATTTTGGTCACATATACTTATCTTTCTTTTTCTTTCAGGCTGGTACAGGAATTCAAGCCCAAACAATTATCGGACTCCTCATAGAGTATAGAGGGCTCTCATGGAGGTTAGAAACTTGCCAGTTCCATGCAGGACTCTATATATTGTGTTTTTGCATGGAGAGTTCTATTGCTTTCTTAATCTCCCTTTTCCAATACATGCTCGACTTGAAATTTTTTTTTTTTGAAATATGATATCAGCTAGTACAAAAATGTTTATAATTAAATATTGTAACTTTTGAGATTTTTTTATTTTGTAAATTCAGTATCGGTGGAGACAAGGAGGTTGAAGATTACGTCACACTGGCTAGTGAGTTGTGTTAATGTTGCATTTTGCATTTCCATAATTATATGTTAATATGGAATCTATGTTTAAATCTCAAATAGTTACTCGCCTGTGATACATGTAAATCTGTAGTTCTGTGATGTTTTATCTATGATGTTTTATCGTGTTTAGACATCCTGAAGAGGTATAACCCAGACATTAAAGGATTCTCCGTGGGACAGGGAGGCGTAGACAGCGGGAACGCCCACCTTAACGTAGCTAATCCGGGGGACCAGGCAAGGTCGGCCAAGTTTTGCTGATTATCTTTCACACTGAATTTCATTTCTGGCATTTTGATTAAAATTTCCGATACGTTTTAGCTCACCTGTTTTAGCTTCTGATGATCCATTGTCCGGGGACGGTCAGGCCGTACGTCTGTCCATTCGTCTACCCGTCTGGTCTGTTCGTGAATCGTCCATGTGTATAAACTTTTCACATTTTTAACTTCTTCTCAAGAACCACTTCAATGGTCAATTTTTATCAAAGTTGGTAAAACGTTCTTTGGATAAAGGGGGTTCTAAACTGTAAAATTATCGCGCCAAGCTCTTTTCAAAGGAAGATAATCAAGTAAAGACAAAAATAGACTTGGGTCATCATATAAATGTCAAGTATTTACTGTACCAAGATGTATTGTTACTTACATTCTTTGTAAGGTTTTCACTTGTACCGTCTGATGTTTTCGTCATTACTATTTGTAGAGATATTCCTGCGCAGGCCAATTTGTTGATAGAGCGAATGAAGAAAGAGCCTGGTGTGGATTTTGAGAATGACTGGAAAATGATCACCTTGTTCGTCGGCGGAAATGACCTTTGTGACTACTGTGATGATAAGGTCCGGAAATAGAATTTTTAATAATTATTTTGTAATTTTATAGTACATGTGGCTCTAAAAATTGTCCAAATCAAAAAAATTAATATACTTAAGTATCTTTTTTATTTTGATTTAGGAGACGTTTAGCACAGCCAACTACATTGCTCATATAACAGAGGCTTTGGACACTTTACACAAGAACGTACCCAGGGCCTTCGTCAACGTTGTAGAGACTCTGAACATCGCGGACATCAACGTTCTAAACGAAGGACTCATCTGCGATACAATTCATTTGTAGGATTTTATTTTCTACAGCATTTTTATAGCACGGTTAATATAAAGTACGTGTAGATGGAATTTTCAAGAATGGTGTTTTTCTCATTTAATAGCTTTTTGTGTCGTTGCGGCACCTTCCCTTCTGAAAAAGAGCGAAATGAAATGCGGGCAGCGGTACTAGCGTACCAGAAGAGTGTTCGGGATCTCGTCGAATCGGGTAGATACGACACGAAGGACGACTTTACTGTCGTTGTGCAACCTTTCTTCGAAGAAACAGGCATTCCAAGACTGGTAACTCGATATATTCTAGATTTTGATATAATAATTTAGTGTTTGTATTGTTGAAAAAAATACATCTCAAAATTTTTTTAT